TATCTGTTGCTCTCAGGAACCAGCTTGGTTATCACTGCCTAGTACTCGCCTACGCACATCATCGTTGCAGACACGTCGGTGCCATCCGACACCAGTAATGCTCCGCAGACAACGATGATCGAAAACTTGAAGGCGCCCAAGATCTTCAGATTGAAGGCGCCACGTCGCACTCCCATAGAGCAGGACGGCCCTCACTGTGGCTTGTATACACGACCTTTCAGACGAAGGGAAACTCCCTTCCGTCGCCAAAGACGCCGCAGGTTCAAGAAGGCAGTTCCGGATTTCGCAATGCGTTAACTGACGTCAGTTTCTATGCGCCCATCGTTGCTGATGCAGCTGCCAAGGTAGCTGAACCGATTAACCACCTCGAGTTTCTCGTTATCAATGGTCAAGGTGTCAACAAGTGGCTGGTGGTCCTGCAGCAATAATTTGAAGGTGCAAAGCGCATAACAAATAATGGGACCACTCAAGACAGACTACCCAGGATTGATTGCGCCTCCCCAGCATCGTTAAACCAAGGCGATAACAACATAACATAAGCATAATCAACATCAACATGCCTTTCATTAGGAAGCAACACAACACTTGCATCGTGAGAATCCGCAGGGGAACACTCCAAGATGGAGTCCATGACGAAAGTGAACAAAAAACGGGAAAATCGGACAACAGTAACAAACGTCACTAGTTGTCGGAAAGCTATCCGATAAGTCCATCTAGATCGTGATGCAACCTGTAGTGTCGGTCGGTGGCCAAGTGGTCTGCACGTTTGCTTTGCAACCATAAGGTAACCGGTTCGAATCCGCGTAGGGATGGGCGTCCTCGCGGTATACTCAGCCCGCGCGCGACTGGTGGTGGTCGCGCGGCAGCGAACCGCCATTAAGGCGTACCGCTGACACATTATTTTATAAAGCACGTAAGAGAGTTCGCGGGGACAGCATTTCGTGAAAATATTTCATACGAAACGCATCGATCTACTATGTCAAACGCATTCTTCTAGTCGAAGAATACCGCTATTGTCGGCCTGTCGTAGGCGCGGCGATGCTCTAGCACCCGTCACAGAGTGAATATATGATCTATATAGTCACCTCCTAGGCGGAAACCTACCTGCTCTTCCCTAAGACATATATATATATGTATACATATATATATATATATATATATATATATATATATATATATATACGCTGAGGCTGATGTTGCATTCTTGATGCTTCTTCACCGCAGCTGGGCTGAAACAACTTACACTTTAACTAGGTCTTTTTAAGCTGGCTAAATTTCATTCCACTTCATTTGGTTTGTTCTGCCTACCTGAATAATGTCCTATTAACTGGCCACGTTGCTTACACTAATTGCGCTTATCTTCGGTAACTTTGTTTCGTTTGTAGCATGTTTAAGTAACTTGTGGACATTTTTTACTTATCCCGGATTCGTTGCTAACCAACTTACTTTATATGGTAATTTAGCGAAGAGTTATGCCACCGTATCTATATGCATTATTCGATTTATTTTATTTCATCTAGTCGTTTCAAGTGAATGGCTGTTGCTTGATATTCCCGGTGTGGCTACGCTTGATGTGCATATTGACAAGGTGCCTACCTGTCTATTACCCACTACCTCGTTCATACTGGCTCCAAGAGACAGTTGGTCGTTGCTGGAGGGGACGAGGTGCACGGTTCTTGTGGTCGTGTTAGGCTCCAAGGGTGGTTCCATGCACTCAGTGTGGAGCGGGCTCCGGTCCAGCTACCGCCTTGGGTGCGCTTGATTCCCCAAGTACAGCGTGCTTGTGTTTGCCTGTGAAGGAGTGTGGGCCGGTTCCGTTGATGAAACGTGGCTCCCATCCACATGCCTCCCGGTCTTATTCCTTCGGGTTTACACTGGATATGGGTGTGTGGTTGGAGCTGTGGGTGGTGCAGCGCAAGCCACCCACGGTCCTTCTGTAGGCGCAGGCGTCCTGTGGCTGGCCACAGTGACAGGGAAATCCGAAAGCGGATGCCGCCAACCATATATATATATATATATATATATATATATATATATATATATATATATATATATATATATATAAAGCAAGGTGCAGTGACTTTATTTAGTCACATCCGCCACGTCGCAGCGTTGTTAAACGGAGATATGAGGATTTTATGGAGAGAATACTTGCCAGGCGAATGCTCACCACGTTCTAGAACATTGCTGGTGATGTAGCTCAGCTGATAGAGCATGCGTTAATTGAAAGTAGTTAGTTCCCGTTAACCATTTGAAAATCACAATGAGAAGATAAAGATAGACAGATGCATGCATTTCGTAGTCTCTTCAGTGCCGAAAACAAGAATTGGAAGTGAACTACAACTCGAATGATGCAAACGTGCAAACAAACAAAAGGAAAAATTGAATCACGTCTCTATGTCCAAGGCAACCTGAGGTTGACCGAGAGTTATTCTTGGACACAAAGCTCCGGTTTGATCCGGTTTATCGTAATAGCCTCAGCGAAGCGGAGGAGACGGGAATCGGCATGCCGCAGCTGAACTTTGGACGACGTGCTAACCTCGATCCAATGACCTGAGAGCAATAAATGCCTGCCGATCGAAGATGACGGCGGCCTATATGCATGCTTAGCCTGACCTGGGAATGCTCGTAGCTCTGGTTTCCTCCATTTTCTCAGCTCTTTTGGTCCACCAGGATCTCTTGTCAGTATGTAAGCTCCATTTTGAGACGCGGCTTGTGGTCTCTCTAGTCACAGTCATCGTTTATCACTGAGGATTTTCCTTCTTGAGTTCAGCATGTTCACATTCCTCTCGTATATCGAGTGCCCGAGAGTGCCGCAAGCAATGACTCTCGCGTCGTGCATGATGGTCGAAACAATATCCCACCAAAGCTAATCGGAATAATTAAGGTTGGTATGCAGGGATTCCGTCTGAATAAGAGACGAGGTAACTTCTCAGTTGCAAAGAAAGGGAAAATTAAAATGTCCGTCAGCAAAATTGCTGGGAAATCGACACAAACGGAAAACAGACAAAGTGCTCAACGTTGCTTCGTACGTCAACCTTTGATGACGTTAGCAAGTAGGCTGCGCACAGAAATCCAATCAACCAACGATGACAGCTCTGGGATGAGAACGACGCTCACTCCAACATGACTCGTGATTGCTGCATCAGGACGTGCGCATGTTCGACAATCGTGTGAGGGAGTTTGATCTCATTTTCAGGCACGCAGTACACATTAACCCTAAACGTGTTCAATGTGTGCACAAACGGCGCTCGGTCTAAATGTCATAGGGTGCGCGTGTTTAACGCCGGTAGAAAATCAAAGTGATGTGGCTTGATAAAAATGACTGTTGACTACTAGGGGAACACATGTGCAAATGATGAAACTCTAATGGTACTACGGCTACCGTCGTGTATGCTAGAAAATTATAGAAGAGTTAGTACTGAAGATTGGGAGGTGTGTAGACGAAATGGATGCTAAGAAAAAGAAGCACCAGTAGCATGTTTTCGTTCGGGTACCCTGCTGCACACAGCAGAGGAGATCACTTTTGAAAATGCGCAAAAGGCTGATAATAAACTCATAGCCGTATGTGGACTGGGAAGCTGCAATGATACCCGAATCTAGGCAAGAGAACGATTATGGGTTTCAACTGAAAGCTGTGTATCAAACAGCTAGGCGCATGGCAGCCGGGGCAGCGAAAGCGAACTTGGCTTTCATTGACATGTGTCACTTGGCAGACGCAGTTGATATTTGGCCTTGTGGAAAGTGGAGTGGTGCTGAGGTGAAATACGGGAGCCCAGCAATCGCGTTTGAGTAGATCAACGAAACATAATAGCAAGGGGTTTCAGGATAGACGATAAACTAGTCTACAGCACAGGCTGCGTGGGCATCTTTGAGGTGTCGGTTATCAAGCGAAACAAAGGTCGGAGTGCAAAGAAGGTAATGAGTCGAGCGATAAGGACAATAACGAGACCGGTAACAGTATTAGAAGCAAACAAACATAAACAACAATATATCGAAACTTGGAGCGTGATTAAGTGTCTTAGTGATAGCAGATGGAGGTTAAGTACAAAATAACCAGATTGGTGTTTTTGATTTATATTAGGCGAGTTGCAACAACGCTCGCCTAATGCAAGGGATCTAGCTCCACCGGATAAAATTGGGAAAATTAAGCAGATCGCCGGATGAGCGAGAGTATCTTGCGGGTGAGTAATCAAACCAATATCAGAGGTTCGTCGCAGTACCCTCTCAGTCAACAAGCTCGGACACGTCCGTATAGCTGCTAAATGTTGTGTAGTACGCAGTCCCTATGCGGAAAGTCGTAGATCCTGGGACCAACCACTGTCCTGTGCACAGTTCATAATTGGTATGGCAGTGGAGGATGAGTCGCGCTGTATCGTAGTCAACTGTCAATCATGCAGGTCCGCGGCTGTCACCCATGTCTTCATGGCACAAGCTGCTGGCACCCGGAGATTATGGGGTCGAAACCCGACAGGGTCGAAAAAGCTGTCTGGTGCTTTTCCGGACGAGATGGAGCCTGTTGGCTGGGAAGGAACTATAACGAATTACCTCTGAAATTACACCCAAATCCATACTACTCATTAGTTATCAAACCAATATCCTAAGCGGAGCTCATAAGCGCGCGGTTCCATGTGCATAGTCTCAATGACCCACAAGCCTGAGCCTCCGATTGTTCGGATGACCTAACCTATGCGAAATCGAGTGCACAGAACACAATCTATCAGAGCAGTTGTCAAATGTTTACTCATAAAGGTTGCTGTGGTGAAGCATGGATCCCAAGCAACAAGTATTCAAATGTCCGATAACAATCCATTGTTGAAAAGTAAGTAGTGGACAACGGAATCACTAGGCAAACGACAAGTGAACAGCAGAAAACTAGTGCACGTAACTAAAGCTAACCGAACTACGTGGATTCGATTTAGCCCAAGTGGAACAACAAAGCACGATGCACGTGTCGTACTCCAACGACAAGAACTACGTAAGACGACAAGGGTACTTACACGATGTATGAGCAATCGCAACATCCATGCCTGTTGAATTGTGAAGAAGGGATATGCGAAATTCTCCCGTAAGGGTTGAATCCACTGCACTCGAGTGGCCTCACGATGATTAAAAAAGTAGGCCATTACCGGAAGAATCGCGCCCCAGACAGAAAGAAAAGGCGAACGATGTGAGGACGGCCACTCGATCGAAGCGATGAACCAACCGGACCACGCCAAAGCGGATAGCATGAGGCCAGCCAGTACAAATACGCCAGTGATGTAGAAATAAGACGGTTCGCCTAAGCCAACACAGCTGATCACGGATTTATCTGCCAAGCCAAGCGTTTGTGACGCAACCATGGGAGAGCTGATAAAAGAGTAGGTTAAAATGAAAAATAGCGGCGAGTGTGAAAGATCCGACGAAAGAATAATGAAAAACCATATGTAGGATAGATAAACGATAAGGTATACGAGTAGCAGGTATACATTGTTAAGTGTTAGGACAATGGGAACGGTGAACCGAGATACAAAGTAATAAGCATACTAACGATCTGTTGCGAATGTGCTCCAAAAATACCGGTGGGTTGACAACGAGTGCGATCGGTCCACTTGGAACGTCCCGTTGGACGCGATAACATTCCTGAGAGAGAAGTCCCTGTGACCGTAGTATGCGATATACTGTGGCCAAAATCAATTCCGGATAAAGATTGAAGCGTTGCATTGAGTTGAGGTCCGGACATGGAACTTTTGGATCTGATTGCGTCAAGGTCATTAAGTGTGCGTAGTGCATACCTACTAATCCAGAGGCGTTGAAGCACCGTGGAACTTCCGTTCGAGCATCGTGAATAAGCGAGTACCATCCCGCTAACCAAGCGCGTGCTGTTATTAGCTGCGGGGAATTAAAAGATAGGGTGAATAAAAGATACGTATTTCCAACAACTACAAATAAACAGATGGGGCAAACACAAAATTAGCAGAGCATAACATCAAAATCATACATGTTAGCTAGAAGTGGAAAACACCTCAGTTACTGTGCAACAGAGGCACGCCAGCTGAGTCACCAGTAACGGATGAGTATCATTCCGGAGAGCTAACAGGTGGCTATTGTGCCGCCAAAAAAGAATTACATTATGCTTAAGAAATGAGATCGTGATTGGAAGGGGAGGCTAAGCGAGAGGATGAACGACAAATAAACATAAACGCCACTGAGGTCGGTTCATTGCCATGTCATCAAGTGTATCCAGCCAAACGTGTTCATCGTCTTTCGGACCCCAACCAGGGAGCCGAGAGGCTCCAACCGAGGCCAACTTGGAACTAAGGGCTTTCTTTCCTGTTGACCAAGTGATCCGTTTGCCTCCCCTCCTCTCTTTCATTCACACCCCCGGTGCGCAAACAACGCACATCGCGTGAGCCGATGGGCTGGCGTGTGCAACACGTGACCCAGCCATCGGAGCCTGATGCGCGAAATAACGGTGTTGTAAGGTCTGATCGTAATTGACACTCATAATAAATAGTGATAATGTTTATTGCTGACAGTGTAAAATGCGCCAGGAGATATTGCATAGTGCGCTACGATTAAGTGGTATGGCAAGTCAGATGAACACGAAAAAACGATTGGACAATACAAATGCCTGCCACAAGTTGCAAACCCAGATGCCACGATACAAAAGAATCAAAAGTAGGAACAATGTTCAGAGAAGTACTAAACTCAGGTTCTTCGAAGTGGTATAGAGAAGATGAACACATGAGTAAAGCCCGATGTACCACATGGATTCAGGCGGTTGCAAAAAACGCCGTTCTGCTCCGCTCGGGTTCTCCACAGTATGGTCAACGCTACCGCCTAACGTCTCTCAGTAGAGTTTCACAAGCAGATTCGTTCATCAGGTGCCGTGATATGCATCATCTAGGTTCCGCAATTCTCGTACACAGCTCTCTCGCCGTTTGGCCTATGCACCCCGCACAATCTTTACTTAGGATTTGTAAAAGCATTAAATTGTTGTCTAAAGGAAGGCCATCGCAACGAGACTGGAGCTTAACGTGGTGCGAAGGTCTGCGTACCTCCGTGACCCATTAGGCTAGGCTGAGTCGCACTTTCCAAGTGCCTAGAGTCACCCATACCAGACAGGTCAATGGTTAGGGGTCAGATTAACTCAGTCTCACAATCCTCTTCTGAGGTTAGGGAGAGGTCGATGACCCTCTTCTCTTAAGACCTAGCCATGGGAGACAATAGGTCTACAAGTAATAAGCCCACAGCTCGATTGTCGTAGAGCACGAGCGCCAAGCGTTGCCTCAGACGGCTGGAGAGCACCGCCTGGCGTTCAGTGGTTTGTTCCTGCCCCTCTCAAGCCAGGCAGCCCCTGGGCAAATTGGTGCAAACGAACCAATCCCCACCTGCAACTACCGTGTTCGCGGGTGCGTAACATGGTTGGCGGCATCCGGTTCCCGATTCGCCTGTAACTGTGGCCTCCAGGACGCCTGCGCCTACAGAGGGACAATGGGTGGCTTGCGATGCATCACCTACAGCTGCATTCAAACACCTCATATCTAGCGTAAACCCGAAGGAATAAGACCGGGAGGCATGTGGATGGGGGGGCACGTTTCATTAACGGAACCGGCCCACACTTCTTCACAGGCAAACACAAGCACGCTGTATTTGGGGAATCAAGCGCACACAAGCCGGTGGCTGGAACGGAGCCCGCTCCACACTGAGTGCATGGAACCACCCTTCGAGCCTAGCACGACCACAAGGACCGTGCACCCCCCCCCGTGTCCTCGAGCAACGACCAACTGTCTCCTGGAACCAGTATGAACGAGGTAGTGGGTAATAGACAGGCAGGCACCTTGTCAATATGCACATCAAGCGTAGCCACACCGGGGATATTAAGCAACAGCCATTCACTTGAAACGACTAGATGAAATAAAATAAATTGAATAATACATACAGATACGGTGGCATAACTCTTCGCTAAATTACCATATGAAGTAGGTTGGTTAGCAACAAATCCGCGATAGGGAAAAGATGTCCTCAGGTTACTTAAAAATGCTACAAACGCAACAAAGTTACCGAAGATAAGCGCAATTTGTGTAAGCAACGTGGCCAGTTAATGGAAGATTATTCAGGTAGGCAGGACAAACCAAATAAAGTGGAATGAAATTTATCCAGCTTAAAAAGACCTAGTTAGTGTAAGTTGGTTTAGCCCAACTGCAGTGAAGAAACATCAGGAAGGCAATATCAGCTTCAGCATGGGGCGCGGTTGGCGGCATCCAGTTTGGGATTTCCCTGTAACTGTGGCCAGTCACAGGACGCCTGCGCCTACAGAGGGACCATGGCTGGCTTGCGCTGCACCACCCACAGCTCCAACCACATACCCATATTCAGTGTAAATCCGAAGAAGTAAGACCGGGAGGCATGTGGATGGGGGGGCCACGTTTCATCAACGGAGCCGGCCCACACTCCTTCACAGGCAAACACAAGCACGCTGTATTTGGGGAATCATGCGCACACAAGGCGGTGGCTGGACCGTAGTCCGCTCCACACACTATGGTCGTAAAACACATGGAAATTGTCCCAAACACTGTGTGTGACAGGCATCGAGCAGATCCCTATGGTTATCTGCAATCACACTCCCGAGTTGGATCTGTCCCCAATGCCTTGTGGGCTAGGCTATTGAGCCTAGAACTCCCGGTCATTAGCATCATCATCATTACATATAAGGTGAAGGTGAAACAATTCAACAATTGTGCCGTAATACATAAAAACGAAAAAAGCGAGATGCGGAAAATTATAGAATGCTAGAAAACAGGAGACAGGCTACTTGGTAACATTATGCTTCAAGTGGGAGATCGAAGTTGGGGGGTAATAAGCGGGATGAGGAGGAACAAGGAAACTCACAACACAAACGCCATTGTAGCCGATTCCTTGCCAAGTCAATTAGTGAATCCAACCAAACGTGCTCATCGTCCTTCGGTCCCCAACCCAGCAGTCGGGAAACACCAACCGACCCCAACTTCGAAGTGAGAGATTCCATTCTTCCTGACCAAGTCATCCCTTAGCCATTCCTCCTTTTCTTCAATCCAGACCCCGGGCGCGCAAACAACGCATGTTGCAGGAGTCGTTGGGCTGATATGCGCAACACGTGACCCAGCCATCGCAGCCTGATGCGTGATATAACGGTGCTGAGCGGGTCACTCGCTGTTCTTGAACCGAATACGCGGCGCCGAACACGCTTACTGCTCACACGGTGTTCCCACCAAACATCAGCTAGGCTGCGAAGGCAGCAATGATAGAACATGAGTCTGTCGACTTGATGGGCCATGTTTCGCAACCATACAGTAGGGTTGAACGAACGGCTACGAGAGTGATATCGCGCCGGCGCCACAGATGGCGGAGACTGGAATGAGCGCCTCGAGCTTTTGCTATGCGGTTTGTGATCTCATCTTACGTTCCATTGGCGCAGCCTAGATGCTTGAATTTCTTAACCACTTCTAGCTGATCCCCACCAAGGGTCAACGCAGGCGTGGGTTCCTGCCGACATTGAAGGGTGCCAAGTATTGCCTAAAACGGCAGCCACAGCTAATTTTTACACTGTAGCTTGGAATGTCTGTGAACTGTTACAGGTAAGGGGAATGTTGTCGGCGTAATCCAAGTCAATAAGTCGTTCACCTGTGAGCAGCTCCACGCATTGCAGGTTATGTTAAGTGAAGGTAGTTTCCATGATCTTGTCGATGGAGAAGTTAAAAAGGAAAGATGACGGCGGGCATCCTTGTCTCACGCTGCTGGAAATATTGAACGGCGGCGACAGCTTGTCGTAAGCCATCACTTTATCCGAACTATACACGAACAGCGCTCTTATGACATTCACATATTTCTCGGGTGCACACTTCCTCAGCAGACAGTCCCAAAGAGCACATCGATCAAGCGAATCGTAGGCAGCTTTGATGTCGAGGAACACGACTACGGCGGCCCGACGATAAATATGGGGGTGGTCCAACAATTGACGTAGTGTGAAGATGTGATCAATACAGCCACGATTTCGACGAAACCCGACTTGCTCCTCGCGGATCCGGCTTTTACGTGTGCCAGAAAGTCTATGGAGAACGATAGAGGCGAGGTTCTTAGAAACAATTAGGATCAGACTGAACCCTCTATGGTTGCCGCATTCAGAACGTGAGCCCTTTTTGAAAATGGGACTATTATCGACTGGCTCGTCTGCTGGTATAGTCCAACGCCTCCACAGTTTCAGAAGTAAGTTGTGCAGATCATCAAAGAGAGCAGGTTCCTCGAATTTAAAGAGTGGTGGAGGGATTCTATCCGCTCCTGCGGCCTTATTTACTTTTATCATGCAGAGTCCACGCTCGTACTTTAAATCGAGCGACAGTTTTGGACACAGCCTCTCCAAATGCTTCGGGTGGAGTCCCTCAAGCCAACCTCCAGGTATCCTACTGCCTTGTGGATCAGACTGTTAAGTCAAAAGAAAGGTAAGGCCCCTCAAATAAAATTGCTCCCTCGGAATGGGCAGCCGGAGAGTATCATCTGGCCACTGGATTCCGTCGACAATACTCCCTCTTCTACACGTGCGCTTCAAAATGACCCTCTAACCAGTAAGTAATCGTCGTACCAAGCGTTACCTGTTGTGACCCGGTGGCTTTGGGGTAGTGGTCACAACCGACATCCCAATGGTCCCGGGTTCGAAGCTTGCTATTTCCATCTGATGAGACCAAATAAGATAGAAACGCGTCATGGAGTGTAGTGTTTTCTAGCGGGCAGCACCTAAATTCCTTCTACTCCATCTTCTTGTTTTTCGCTCCCCTCTCAAGTCTCTTCCCCCCACGAACAGTCGAGAAACGGCAACCGACGCCAACTTCGAAGTGAGGGTCTTCATTCCTCCT